GTAGTGAGGCCTACAGGATGCACATTTAACAAGCACATACATTCACTTCTAATTTTCATGTCCTCTAGGTTTTGCTATCAAGCTCAATTTATATATACCTAGAGTAGCTTATTTCATCCCCAATAGCTCATAACTTAACAGAAAAAGATGAGATCTTGTTGAAGTGTCTGTTAATTATGACTCTGGTCTGTTCATGGGAGGTCCCAGGTGGAAAGAAAAATAGGTACTGCAATAATTCAACATTGTTCAGTCAGTAAACAGCCAAGTTTGAGCTATACTGTGTTTCATTTGGAAGGTAAAGGTATCTAGTACTGCAGCAGTGAACCGCATGAATGGCATGTACACCCATTGTTTTTTCCAAGGCATTCCTTGCTGGGAAGACAAAACATTCTGCCAAACAATTTCCATGGTCACCATTTGTGAGAGGTCTACGTCAGCTTACAGATAGCTAATACACAGAATTCTTAAGGTGGCTGAACACAATTTTTGGGAACCAATGTTTATTCATAATTTTTCAAACCCCAAAAAGGCAAGATGCAAGCAGTCTTCGGTAGCCTCCTTTCCAGCTGTTATTAGGGTCATCTTGCAACACTAGGAGGAAGCATTGCATGACAACCCTAATAATGGCTGCAAAGGAGTCTTAGGTGGTTTGATAGTTCAGATGATGATGATGATGTTGTCATGGCAACATGATCGGTTACACAAAATTGGGGTTTGATCATTTATAGAAAATCCAGATTTTATCATTTGCATGCAACAACCATGCAACTGAATGCTGTCATGTTAAAGTGCCTATGAAGTAAAAAAATAATTGCTGCTTATTTGAAAGGCTTTTCAAAGTAAAGAAGAACGGCATTTCCCTTTTTGGAATATCTTTTTTTGTTCTAGAGATATTTACGTTTTTGTATTATGCAAACGAGGAAAGTGATGATGTCATAGGTGCTTCCACTTCAACAGTGAAACACTGAATCAAGAATATCTCTAGAAATATTGGAGCAGTGTTCTTCACACTTGGCACCACAAATGTGCACCACAAAAGAAACAGAATGACACCTTCTGTGTTGTTGCCATGGCAACAATTTGGCTTCGGTCTCTTTCTGTGAAAAACCAAATATGCCAATTTGCAACCCTTTGAAAAGGGAGAGAGAGTCTTGCTTGGAACACACATGATTCCCATATTGTCATAACTCTCCCCATTAGATTGTTGGGAGTGGATGATCCTTGTTTAAGATAAAATCTGGTAATGTTAGTTTT